GCGGGCAACAGCTAGTACGTCATAAAAGGTTTGAAACATTCGCATTCCCACAACAATTTAAAACCCCATCCATTAATATTATTCATTTAAATATAATAACTAACTTATTCTTCTAGTTTTTAATTATGAACATTGAGCTATCAAACCAGACCTTCAAAACCGAGTTTAGATTTGCCAGTCATTTTCGCTCTCAGAGATAGCAAGGTTCTCCATTGAAGAATTACGTCACGGAAGACGTCATTATATTGTGCGTAGGTTTAAATAATCTTCAGAGACCAGTAAAATCAAATTAAGGTTTCTTGCCGTTTTAAAATTTTATTATTCAAAACAGTAAAATTAGTACACGATACGATAAAATCAGGATTATGTTAAATATCACTAGGAATTGTTAAAATAGAAAACTGTGTTGGACAAAACGACCAACCAAAATGCCAAGGTGGTGAACATACTGAAGTACAAATTTATTCCAAATTCTTTAATCCATCATATTTTATTAGGGTACATTTTTATTCATACTCAAACCAAGATTATATACAGTAAAAGTTTTGTAGCTTACACATTTTATAACATACTTTAGTTCATTAGAAAATAATCTTACTAATGTTATAACTGCTAAATTTAGTTGGATGGATGTTTGTAAGCGTTTGTAGCATAAACGGCTGAACGGATCTCTATTAAATTTGGCATAGATGTAGTCTGGAAGAACATATGGGCTACACATTTTTTTTAATATAATGCGGATGGAGTCGCGGGCAAAAGCGAGTAATAAATATTTTTAATTTAATGTATTTTATATTTTAGTGTAAAACATTTGCGTGTATTATGTTTACTAATTATGTAAGGTTACTGGTCCACGGACATTAAAATGTGATTTTAACATAACACAAACAGATATCAAAGTATGTTAAAATGTCTACGACCTTATAAAGAAAAATATGTCTTTAAAAATCTTTATTTACAGAATTTATTACATCTTTATTTGAATTTAATAAAAAAAACACTTATTGATTATTTATACAATAATCAAATATTTCTATGTACACAGCTCAGCGAGACGCAGCTGCACTATACTGTTTACCTCGATGTTATGTAAAGGCATGGATATTATTCGTGTTTACCATCATTAATTACATCAATTATAGTATAGCCTACAATATTAAAACTATTAAAGAAAGTTTTTTTTTATTCGTTTTAACTTACTCGATGCTGATTTAAAACATTGAAATTCAATAAATTTGATTCACAAGCGGTCTTGTGGTTAGAATCCTAACTGGTAATGCTTTCTCAGCGCGTAACTTCACTAAGTGGGAAATGTACAAAAAAGGAAAGCTTCAGTATTCTTCTGACATTGACCTCAATATCAAACGCACAGACGATGTGACTGACATTGATAAATAGGCATCACAACGTGTTCCGACTGAATGAAAATATCTTGTAATCAAGACTAAAAGATTGCAGTCCAAACTTCTAAATCATCACCAGCTCACTATACGTCCCCACCGAGGGGCTCGGAGCCTACACTAAATAAGGATGACTAGGCCATAGTCAACCACGCTGGCCCAATGAGTGTTGGTTGACTTCACACATATCATTGAATTTCTTCGCCGATATGTGCAAGTTGCATCATGATATTTTCCATCACCGTAAGAACGTCGAGTAAATTATGTTCATATGAAAATTCGAAAAATCACATTGGTACGTGGCGGGATTCGAATCCAAAACCTGTAGATTACAAGTCAAGTGCTTAAACTGAGCCACTGACGCTAAACTTCTAATTACTTGGGGCCTATTTTCATTTGATTAACTTGGTCTTGCGGACGCATTAATTTTCTTTTAGTTTTGCAATAATTTTGACTACTTCGAGTTTCCATTTCAAAATATTTGTAAAAATTACAATTTCATAAAATTATTTTTTTTTAGACGTTTCAGCTAACATTTTCTATTCCAAATGTGTTTCACAATGAAGAACTTATTTCTTTGTAACTGCAATATTCTACAGTCATTTATGTTACAGCTTTTAAACAACGTTAACAACTTGCAACATATATTTTCTTGTTTCTCTTAGAAGATAGCTGTATGTTATTTATTCTAAGAGAAAACGAAGGCTGAACATAATTGTCCTGTCTCTACCATTGGAGTTATGCACACACCTATACATACAATATTATCGACACGATCAAAACCGGAGAAAAGTTAAAACGTTTTTTTTTTATTATTTTCATATATCTTTATTTCTTATGTCCTATATAATACATTTTACAAGATTTGATATAAAAATAAAATAAAATATGAAATATACTCGTATTATATAAAAAATAGAGCACCACCGGCAGCGGAATCCGATGACTCAAGCAACCAGTGGTGAGGGCTGCAGAGACAGGAACCTCCTCACTATGCGTGCGGTTTCTAAAATAACCGCCTTTTGAATCGGGACCTTAATCCAACTATCTAGCGAGAGCTTCTCGAGGTGTTGGTCGAAGTTCTTCGCTATTATTATTTTAATTATTTAGTAAACAGGTTCTTAGTTATTTATTTAAAATCTTCCTAAAAGTACTCGGTATTAAACTGAAAGTAATTTGCACAATTATCAAGTTAATTCTTGAAACTGTTACTTATTGTTACATCAGAAATGTAATAATCAGGTGGATGTATTTTATTAATATACTCGAAAAGCTAAATTATAGTATTATCAAAACAATTTTAAGGAGTTTATCACAACATACTATTGTACGTCATTAGTAATATCTGCAAACTGTCGAGCATCCGAGAGTCGTTTGCTATCTTGAATATGCCAACGTAATTTAAGTGCTCATACGTTTAAATTCTATTAAACCGTCTTTTAGATATATAAATGATTCTAATAGCATTCTTTTATTTTCAATATAAGCCACTATTTTATGCTTGTTTATTAATGTAAAAAAAAACTTAGACAATCACTTACCAGTCTTAGCGGTACTAGCGCCGTGGGCGAAATATATAGGCCTATCCTTTTTACCACGCTTTTGAGGAGGGTTGGTAAAAGGTAATCGAAGACTTTAGCGCTCCTTTCTGTCATCCGCCCAGTGCGGATGCCTAACCGTGAACTACCATAAAGCCTACAATGGATGTACATTTTGGAAAATTAGTCTGTATGATAATTAAAACTATTACACTCTATATAAAATTATTATTACTGTTAAATGAAAAGAATTTAATCCGATGTATTTTTAAAATACATCTAATATTTTGGATTAACAATATATACATAATAGTGTAATTCAAAACAATCAATCATTTTGCAATCAACGAAATAAAAGATACTCTTTGTCTTTTTTAAATCGACTATTAAATTAAACGTTATTGTCTAGTGGAAAATCCACAAACACATTCCTTTTCTCCCTTTGATATAATTTAAATAGACAAATTAATCAATGCCGAAGTCACGACGAAAATAACGCAGCCTGTCTCCGTAACAAATAGCCTCACTCTACTCCTTACAACGAATTAGCTGCGATTTTAACATTACACATTTTTTGCCGCTCCAATGATCTTATGATAAATGTGGACACAACTATTTTAAGACTAGTTTCCGCTCCCGACTCCGTCCGCGTGGAATTAAAAAAAAAACAAAAGTGAGTAGCTTGTATTCTTTCAGACTATCCTCTACATCTATACAAAATTTCATTAAAATCCGTTTAGGCTACAAACTCTAACACACATCCATCCATCTAAACTTTCGCGTCTACAATATTAGTAAGATAATGGATCCATTGTTTTAGTGGTTTGGGGCTATCATGATCATCATCAACTTGCCCACTCTAGAAAGCTTTCCCCAATGCCTTCCTTTAGGGTCTATAACTGACAAAAAACATTTGTATTAAATAGGTGGCTCAGGGGTTTTAGCACTTGACTTGTAATCTATAGGTCTTGGGTTTGAATCTCGCCATGTGCCAATGTGATTAAGGAAAACATCGTGATGCAACCTGCACATATCGGAGAAGAAATTCAAAAATGTGTGTGAACTCAACCAACCCGCACTGAGCAGGCGTGGTTGACTATGGTATAGTCACCCTTAACTTAGGGTAGGCTCCGAGCCCATCAGTGGAGACCTATAGTGAGCTGGTGAAGATTTTACTGATATTTTAGCAAACGAATTAATGAAGAGAACAAAGGTATTCAGTTCGTGTAATTATAGATTAAGAATAGACAACTGTCTGAAAAGTTTAGAATAGCTGCGTTAATTTTGTTGTAAATATCCAATTGCTCATTTATGTTTAATTCTTTGCCTTACAGTGCTCGAAGATTGTAATCTGTTATCGTTTTATTGTAACTACTAAATATTATTATTAACAACGTTATTATACTGCTGATAGACGGATTAAATTTACAGTTTAAATTAATATTTTCTAGTGTATTGAAATTAAAGCATTATTTAGTGACTTGATACTTTTTCTATTCCGTCCAAAACTTCGAAATTTAGTCTTGGCTTCTTTGTAAATTTAAAGTAACGTTAACACAACTTTGTGAAGTGCGCTAAAAACAACTTAAATATAGATGTAGTAATGTCTAAGCAGACTCTCTAAATTGCGTTCTATTTTTTGTATCTATCTTTTATATTCCGAAATCTATTATCAAGCTCCAAAGAGTATTGGCACAATCTCACATGTTTACATTTATGAATTTACCTGTTTGTATTTATACTTTCCGTAACATTTTCTTTGATAGTTGCAAAGGTAGGAAAAGCTTTCGTGGGCGGTCTTGAGTGATCCTGGCATTATGTCTGGCTCTTTGTGCTGTACTAACTGCATCTTAAAGGAACTAAAAATAACTAATTTAATTTATGGAGTACGTAAAAGCTTTGATATATAAAATTAATAAATTCAAGTGATTATTAATTAAGCGACTTGAAATTGTAGCTTTTCTATTTTAGTTATTCTTAATTGCATATCGTCAATGTCAGGGAATTAGATTCTTAATTCTTGTTTTGAGAATTGTGGTTATAACCAATAGTTTCTTTTCAGATTATCTTTGTTATCGAGTGATTAATGAAACCAAACTGGAGTTTTAAAGATGCTAGTAATTACAAAACAAGACAATGACACTGCGTCGCTGTGATAGTTTGCCCGGCCGGCTATTGGAGGTGCCTGTCGCACCTGATTCTAAACCTGCCTCTCCACCCGAAGCAAAAATCCCAGATTCCAGCACAGTTCCCGATTTTAATGACCCACCGAAACTAGAAGAAGTTATAGCGACATGGAAATCACTTTATACAGATGTTGAAAAAATAACAAATGGTTTATCTCCAAATAGTGAATCATGTAATGGTAAAGCTAACAGGGAAACTGTTACTCTTAATGTCGTTTCCGAATCTGGGTCTAGTAAGAACGAGACGTATAGAAAACTTGTTTTTGATAAAGCCAATGCTGGTAATACAAATGATAAGAATGCGAAGAACACTATTCACGCTGATGTGGCCCAAACAAATCCAGTGTACGGTACGAGTAAAGCACGGAGAAAGACTTTATTGGAACGCCTTCTCTCCTGGCGAACTCCGGAGTGCAACTGTCGCGAAAAGTTTACACCAAAGCGACCAACACCGAGACTGACGGCTGAAGAATTGTTATGTACTTGTGGTGTTTCTCGAGCTAATTTCCAACAAAGACGGAATAAATACGGAGAAAGAGGTCGCTCTAAAAGCGTGGGCTACGAAGCGGCTCGTGAAGTGACTCAGTTTCGTCGGTTAGTGTTGTGTTTTGTGTGTTGATGTTAGAAGTTATTTATCAACTGGTCCTCTAACAATTTATTCTGTTAATTTAATTAAGTTTTAATTGTATCCCACTGAATATTTTCACAGATGTATTAGAAAATTTTATGAAATCTTTGTTACATTGATATTGTAAGATTACTTTAGTGGAATGGTTTGTTGGTACAGGATCAGTTGATAATTTTCTTCGATTACATATAAAAGTGTGTGTGATGTTAGGTGTGCTAGTGCGGGTGCTACAGTGGGAATTGAAACAGCAGCGGCGCTTCGTGCGCGGGCTGCGTTGACGCTCGCTCGTCGCTACTACCCTGAAGGTGGTTGGGGTTGGACGATCACGGTCGTCGGGACGTTGGTGCAGATAATCACACACGGATTGCAACTCGGCGGAGGTCCGGGGGCCGTGGCCTGCACCGCCGCAGTCAAGTATCGTGTCCCACCGCTTTATAGCTACGGTAAGTTCTTTATCAAGTATATTACTTTAGTTCGTGTCGCTCCCAAAACATATTACATATAAAGACCTCTTACTAATTCTGCGTCTTCATGATTGGTGATTATGGATTTATTTTAGTGTATAGTAAAAAAATAACTTTAAATATGTCCGATGTCAGTTCACTTTCAGTTTTGTGTACTTATGTCATTATTTAACATTATTACGCTGTACAAAAAGTACAGTGACATCGCACAAATAATACCATAGTAATGAATCATGAATGACAACTATTTAGTACGTTAGGAATTCTAGTAAATTTGGCAAACGAAGTTCGTTGCTACGAGAACATGTTCTTTTTTTCTACTAAATTAATATGTTAAAATACAATTTCTACTAAATTTGTTATAGAAAAATTCAATTGTTTATTTCCAATTCATCTTTATTAAACTATAATAAAATGATCGTGTTTACCAATTCGTTATAAGTTTATGTTAAGATGTTGTTAATAAAGGATGTGAAAGAAAAAGGCAATAGATATCCCAGACTAGACAAGCAGTGTCAAGTACACGATATATTTCAGACATTAGATGCCATTGGAGCTACATTATTCACGTTCTAAAGGAGAATTTTATCTTGAATAGCAGCGGAAGACATAATTTTCATCGTGCCTAATAATCGTATAAATAACAGTTTGTTGCGAAAAAGATACTTTAAGTAGTCTGAAAAGTTTTGTTCTAGCGAACACAAATCAAACATTTTAGTGAAAATGTAAAGTTCTATTATGATGTATAAATATTTATTTAGTTACATTTATGGAATATCAACTGATTAGTCTAAAGAATTATAGTCGTTACAATTAATTAATTATTATAAAACTATTTCTACAATTTAAAGCAATTTCAGTATCGATTCTTAAATAAAAAATCCCAGCAGCGAAAGAAGTTGTAGTTTATAGTAACATTACTGTAGTTAGTTTAGTTATTTTTAATGCATAGCAAAGCTATAAATTCTGATACATTAACTAAATCCCAGATTTCACCATATAATGCATAATTCATTGTCATCCAAGCAATCAATGCCTTGTAATTTAAATGAAGGGGTCAATGCCCTCATTGTAACACATCCCCTTTCGTATCCCTATACGAAAGGGGATGTGACAAAGTTTTGGCTCACGATTAAAATTGTTCAACTTGTTTAAGCCCTTATCACCTTTAAGCTTGACATTTCAACATTTCTCTCATTAGAAAAACTGAGAAATCAACGATGCATATGAAGAGCATATTTCACCTTCCCATACATCCGTTCCACCGTCAAATTAAGCTCCCCTCCCCATAATTTCCTTATAAGGAGTGACGGGGAAAGAGACTAAAATGCTTATGTCAAGCTGTATGTTTTAGATAAGTTAGATATGCAAGTCAAAGTGCAACCTGCAATTGCATCTAGTTAAGTTATATCACTTTTTAATTATATTTACTTCAACGACAGTCTGGTTTTGGTAAAATTAATTTGAATATAACGTAAAGTGGAATAGTATCACTTAAATGGGGTCCTTATAACTTATTCATGACATAAAACCTTATTTAGACTCAATTAAACGAACGTCCGTTAATGTTTATGGATTAAGGGAACCTATAACATAAACAACAATAATAAAGCCTTAATCTTCACTTAATGATCTTTAAATTACACACAAAGTAATTGATTTTAATTTAATAATTTTTAAATATACTTTATTCATCTACTAGCTTTTGTCCACAACTTCTTAATTTCTTTATCTAAATAATTACATACCTTTTATATAAATATATCGTTAAGACGGTAAGAAATAACAAATACTTTATTTAAGATAATGAGGTTTTAATTCGATTAAAAATATTAATATAACATACCCTTAAAAGATAATTTTAAAATGATTTCAACATTGTATTTAAATTTTGTTTTTAAAATTCAATGCTTCACATTATCCCTGGCAAATAACAAAACTTCTGTTGAATGTTATCCACCGAATCTGCCACCTGAATCCACCGAAATGGAAAGCGACCGCTGCCCATAAACATCCGCTATTTCAGATACGTTGCCTACCCTTAATTGACGGAGGAGAAAACGCACATAAAGATGACATTTCCTCTTCCTATGCCTTTCCTCCATCATTAAATCCACTTTTCCTTTCCATCCATTCCTCTTGAAAAAAGGGTGGAAAGGGAAAGGGACAAAAATTATATAACAGTATAATTTACTAATGAGTGTAATAAACCGTTCAGTGTCTATGGTTAGAAGGTTCTCTTAATTTACTTAACATAATTGTATTGAATGACAATAAAATTAAATACAAACGAAAATAATTAAACTGTAATTACCACATCACCGTAAACGTAATCACATATAAGGTTTAGACTTCGTTTACATTAGGAATAATTATAGAATTTTACATTTTTAAAATTTTTTAAGTACCTGAGTAAACAATTTTTACGATAAAACCTTTTATAGACTTAATTGACTGACCGTTTATACTCGTAGTTCGAGAAACTTCATAAAGTTAACAAAAACGGTAACTTACGAGTAAATCTTCTTTTAATGAGGACTTGTTACAGGTTTTAAACAAAGACATGCTAGAAAAAGTACTATATCTAAACGATATTAGTGGAATTTTAATTTTAAAATTCTATCAAAGATGAGATCAATTTGTTTACTAAATTTAGGTCTCAATGAAACATCGCATAATAAATTCGTATCCACAACTTCGGTAGTCCCTCAACTCCTCCTAAGTATTATTAAATAGACGAATTAAGACAAATAAATTGCACGTCTTAAGAGGCTAGTGTCCTTAGCTTATTCAACTTGTATCAAGATTACGTAAACACGATCTCAACATGATATAAAATTTACTTGTGTTTTGAAATAACTTTGATTTTTTTAAAGAATATCCCATTCTCTCAGAAATGTCGGCGCAGATTATTAATAAAAAATATAAATATATAAATATACATAAATAAATAAAATAACATAAATAATAAATAAAATACATAAATAAATAATATACATAAATAAATTCAATCTTTATGTAATTAAACGTTTAATTTGCTATTTATAAGAAGTGAAAAGTAAATTTGATCCTTGTTTCAATATCTTAAAGCTCAATTTTATTTGCGATAAAAATCGGGACCCGACGGTCTTTTAAAGAAAAAAAAAAGTTAATCATTAGTAATAAATCTTTTATTTGCTCTATGACATGTAACGCGTGCCGGGTTTACCTCATTAATATTTTTTAACTAAAACTTAGTTTCTTTTATTTATTTATTTACGATAAATTTTATTACATGAGGCTTTTGTCAATGCATCGGTTACGTTTGATCCCGTTGTAATGAACAGTCCAATGATCAAGCCTACATTGATAGATGTCTCGGCTCACTGGCACTGAATTGTCTGTGACACATGATGCAGCAAATGCGGACACAGTATTGTATTTAGTGGTCGTTTACGTTAAATGTCTACATAATTAACGTTGTATGTGAATAACAAGCTATTCCCGTGCAGCGTCATCCACATGGCATTATAAAAACTTTTTTTTTGTTTGTATTCCGTAAAACTATCAAATATCAAAATTCTTCTAGAAGTCCTTTGCCATTGGCTGAGAATTGAAGTAACTATGGTAATCTTCTCTGGTGTAAGCTGTAGATTTTTTTCCTTTTCTCGCAGACTATTTAATTATTTATTTTCATTATTTTATTTTAAATAATACCGAATAAGTTTATTTTAGAAATGTTAGCGTATAAGTCATTTATACACCTATCATACTTATAATATTATAAATGCAAAAGTTTAGATGGATGGATGGATGGATGTTAGAGTTTGTAGCCGAAACGGCTGAACGGATTTCGATGAATTTGTTATAAATATATTATAGAGGATAGTGTGAAAGAACATATAGGCTACTCACTTTTGTTTTTTTTTAATTCCACGCGAAGTCGCGGGCGAAAGTTAATATTGCATAGACATGTATGGTTTCGACATCAAGATAACATGATTAAGATGTGATTAATATTATTATGCCTTTGTAATAAATGTTAAATAATGTTATTGAGTATTATTACTGAAGTAAAAACGATTTACCATCTTTTTCAAACGTAATCATAACACTCTACCCTTTCTAAAGGTTTTGATTAGGGTCTAACTCGGCAGATTCTCAAATTACGAAATAATTTATCTTCAACAAGATCTTTCGATATCGTATTGTAATTTGTAAGGATTTTCGTAAAATTCAAATAATTTATTACACTTATCTTTGTTATTTACTTACTTTATATCGATACTTTATAAATAAATGGTATACGATTTTAACATAGTAGATGCAAATATTGAAATAGGCGAAATAATTTTGATTTCTATCTCCCGAATTGGTGCATGTTCCAATCAATTTTGAATGTTGAATTAGTGTAAAATGCTTCCGCTACGTTCCCATCAATAAATGTACATAATGTAGTTTAATTCATTGAAAATTAAGCATCAATATATTAGACAAATTTTCAATATACTTGTTGGCGATGCAATAAACCTTTTTGTGTTTTTACTTTTAATACTTTTTTAAAATACGAATTTATATATTTTTTTTATTAATTCTGTTTGTAAATAATTGAATGAGTTTTCAATAAGATGTCACAACGCCAGGCTGAATTGTACATAAATCTCAATTTGTATATTTTTATTAAAATTTTAGTTTTGGTTATATTAGTTTTGGTTAGGTTTGGTTCTTCTTATTTATTCTTCGCGCGTTCCTCCTTGTTCATGTTCGTCTCTTTCAACACTGTTATCTATTTAGCAAATTACTTCTAATTTGACGCTATTGTTTCAAAGCCTTCTGGGCTATGCGCAGCAAAGAAAACTGTTTTAGGTCAACATCTTGTAAAACTTTAACCTATAAAGATAATAACACTGTCATAAAAATCGAAATATATTCGATAGAGATAATATTATTAAAGAGCAACGTCTAATAACGCTCTAAAGAAAATCTCTATTTCGCTAACA